TGTGGTGGTGGTGTGGCGTTGGTGTCCACCGGCCTCGTGGTCATCGCTGACGACACAATCGTTTGCATCGAAATGTATTGCATTTTGCATTGTATCGGACATTCATTCACTGATTGAGTGACAGACTGGTTGGGCGTACGTCTCGTAAGCATGTGTTGGACAACACGGCCGACAACACAGTCAACAAACAAATGGCTAATAATTGATAATAAACTCTAATTTCAATGAATCACTCAATTAATGGCGAAAATGTTGTGTAGATTTGCAATCAAAATCTTATTTACGTTTCACTGAGAGTTCACTCGAAATGTTAGCCCTATTTCCAGCCAAGCAGACGTTACGAATGGAGGGAGGGGTGGCCCACATCAGCGCAGGGGTCAAGCGTTCATCGCGTACGGCAATCATATGATGGGGGGCTAAGGGGCGCCGCACTCAGCGGTTACGTTGTCTGTGAACGCGCGGCACTGACACACACACCGCCACCTCTTGTGGTTCAGCCTATACTCGAAAGTTATGTTTCGCTAACTTCTGGACAAACGCTTCACTCTTTGAGCGAAACAGCTTTGACTGTATTGACTGACTGTATTGACTGACTGTATTGACTGACTGTATTCACTGACTGTACCCATCATTTAATTGATCCTTCAATTGGACGCCTATTTGAGGCCTATTTGGCTAATTGTCATCAATTGATGGCTCGTATAGTGTATGATAGGGCCTAACGTGGTGTGCAGTCACTCATAGACTAGCGATGACTCGTATTATGCAGTAAAACGTGGTCTCTATAGGAAGACCAGCCCTGTTAGACTATTTAAAACCATGAAATCGTGTGAATACTGTATGTGGGAAAGGGATGTTAGTCTAGCACAGGCTTTATTCATAGACTTTGTTTAGCGATGTTTATGCCTTGTTATGAGTTCTATAAAATGTAGACAAAGTTAGTCAAAAAGTTTTTGCATACGATTAGTGTTGCGGACAATTACGTGAACACAATTAACCCATGACTTATGCAACACTTTTATAATTACTAGATTGCAGTGTAATGTGTTAACCCAGAAAAAAGTTTGGTTTTCCTGATTTTCCCAATTTTTCTCATTCTTTAACATTATAAAAGTTTTCATTTGAAAATAAAGCACTACTTTTCATTAGTAACTTACTGTACAGACTCCGTACTACAGTATTATTTATCATAAGTTGCGTTAATGAGAGATAAAAAATATGTTTAAATGAAGGCAATAATCATCGTTTCAATTGTAACCCCTTTACCACATGATACATGTGTTTGTTTATGATATATATTCTTTGTTCTTGCTTAATTCCATTCCTTAATCATAAATAATAATTATTAATATCTGAATGAAGTAAATCACAATTGTGTTCATCCCATAATCCCATACACCATAAGCCACTTTCTATTCCCCTTACAATCAAATGATCTGAAAATAGCTTCAGTCTTATCGTCCCTGAAATAGTTTTCGACTGAACCCAGGGTTTGTTGTTTCCCTTCACTAATTCATTCATTATTTATCACAATCAGTATCAATACAACAACACGTTAGGCAACAATTATAATTAGCATCTTGTTCAGTTAATTAATTTGCATCATAGTAATAATAATATCTATTGTTACCTGTACGTCTATAAACTTTTGAATACATTTTTATTTGTTATTATTTATATTAAACAAATAGAACTCGATTATTGATTAAAAGGTCTATTTTGCCATCAATTATCAAGATCGTTTATCAGAATTGTAAACAAATACATACAGTATGTACTGTATGTTTTATATATCGATGAAGTTGTTTGCATGAATCCCGGAAATAATACCAATTTTAAAAAGTTTCCAAATTGTAACATAATAGGCAAAAATAGTTTAGAAATTAATTTCGATGGCATTCAATATAAATCTAGATTACACTATCGGTACAGAATTAAACTGAATAACAAGTTTAATTAATAAATAGACAAAAACTTAAAAATTTCAATCATTTTTATTGAGAATATTTGTTTCACAAATTGTATCCAATCACGGTTTCGACAATTGAATAGAAATACATTTTGTAATCAATATACTTAAGGTTTGCCAATCAATAAAAGTAATTATATAAAAGTTGTCTTAAAATAAATTCTTTAATCCAATGCATGTATTGTTGCTTTAAGTTATATTAAAAAAATTGATTTTACAAAAACAGAAATCATTCGTTGATCACAATTAACAGTAATAATAAAATGGCACCAATTATTAAAATACAAGACAATTAATAAGTTCATTAAAATCGATGAATAATGCCATCAAAACACTTGTTGAAAGACTTATATTATTATTCGATTAAAAAACTAATTTATAGTGTATTTTCTCAAGAGATATCAGTTTTTTTTGAGTCGACAAACATTTGGAAGCGATTATTGAAAGGCCGCGACAGCAATACAATGCAATGAACTGACAATTATTGGCAAATAGGTATCGTTTCAATTATAAAAGTTGTCTCAAAATCAGTGTTTTATTTGGTTATCTGTGCCTTACATTGGTTGGCAGTGTATTACATATCCATATCGAACTGCGGCTCCTCTTCATTACCGCCTTCTCCACCACCTAATCAACAGATAATCCATTAATTATCAAAAATTTCCAGTCATTTGTTTTTTCATAGAGATTCGTGCAAAACGAGCACAAAAACATAAAAACATACACCAGTATTAAAAATATATAAATTATTAATTTTATCGCACATTTGCACAAATAAAAAAGTTTTTGTGTAAAAATAGATATTCATTACAAGCGAAAAGGTATGGAAAGGTATGAAAAGGTATGAAAAGGTATGGAAAGGCATGGAAGCGCTCACCTGTTGTTGGATTCGATGGCATTGGCTTCTCCTCAACGCAGGTTTCCAATGGTGTAGAGGTAGTGGTGAGCCCTTTGCCCGCCGGCGCTCTCCGGTTCTCTTTACCCGCGAGGGGTTGGGTTACGCCGGGAATTGTGGGCAAATTCTTGGGCGGAGATCTGGCCATTGGACTGTTCCGCAGATGCATTAAGAAGGACCGGTCGTACACTATCCGAGTGCCTAATCACACACAACACCACATCAGCTCATATACTGTACTATAACTGTATCTCCTTTTCTGAGACACTATTACACTATTTATGGCATTAGTTTGCATTGAATCCATAGTCAAGTGAACAAAATTTGCGGAATACGAGTGAATTACGAGGAAAAGTGTGATATTATATGAAAATGCAGTGAAAAAAGTTTGCAAACGAGCGAAAAAAAGCTAAAAATTGAATGAATGTGTCCTTGAATTGAGATAAAGCTGTAAACAAAGTCATGTGTCTCGCAGTACAACTCAATATGAATAGAGATTTGCATTGAAATTCTGGCTCTGAATATGGATTCATTGCATAACATATTGGCCACCGATGGCCAGTCCGCGAGCCCTTACCTCCCGGTGTGGTAGAGAAGAGGGTACCTCCCGGTGTGGACGAGTAGTCGTATGGCAGTTGACTCATGTCGTTGACAGTGATTCTTCGCGTCGGTATCTCTCGTCCATTGTTCAGCATCTTCTTCGGCGACCCCACGGATGACATACTTTTTTCCTGCGATCGGGGAGAGAGACGGCGGATGAGGGGCTGGCGATGAGAGTGGTTTGGAGTGATGGCATACCTGTGCTGTTATGAGCCCTCGGTTGCAAGAGTGCGACGAAAGTGTGGTTCAGTTTGTCTTCACTTAACTTCAATCCAAACCAATGCTATATTGAGTGACGACTACTGCATACAAAGCAATACATACCTAACTGTATGCAATTCACAGCATTCAGTGCACAGTCACGTGCGCACATGTCATGTACTGTAATATGCATTTCATAACACATAAGGGACTCATTCATCACCGCATATCACACTTCTCGCAGTCTATTTAATCACAAAAACTCTTTGATTGTCTCTTGTGATCGCAGTTTAGACGATTTAGCTCTTAATAAGTGATATACTTCTCAAACAATGATGTCTTTAATGCCGTAAATGCAATAAAAAGCATACAAATAGTGATTTGAATGAATGAAGAGTCAGTCCCTTCAGATTGAGTCCCTTTAAGGCGTAAACACAACACAACGTAAGCTGTGCTATGATTACGTATTTTATTATTGGATACCTTTCACTCAATTGTTGTCTCAGTTTAGTCTAAATGCCAATCAAATTATCACTCAATTATCGCAGCTTTTAATCAGTGTTTAAAAGTTTTAAGTTTCCCTTTAATAGCACATGAGTTGAGATCAAATGTCGTAAACAAGATTATTGCCATCATATAAGAAATTATTAGTTTAATAGTCATTGAAAGCGAAATACTTTTTCTTGGATTTTGTTTGAAAAATGAGAGGAAATTGTTTGATAAGTGTTTTTATATTGATTGCAATTATATGTGAATTGAGTTTTGCCTTCAATAAGTACTCCAAAGAAGCAAATGTGAAGCAATTGTCGAAACCCTTCCGCATGAAGAAGTTGAACGACTTCTGGGAGAAAGCCATTCATGTATTCCTCGTGTCACCACTTATTATCACAATTAACTGATTTGTGGTTTAATTCACTTTCAGAGTCTCGACGAAAGCAAACTCAAGAATCTGATGGCAGATCTGAAAGTGCAGGACAAGGAGGAGATCACTCTCAAGAAGTTCAAAGCTGACGGTCAGGACAAGGATGGCATTAAAGAGGCACAGGTTAGGAGACAATTGGCGGCTATATTGCAAAAGTATGGATTGGCTGACGATTACAAGAGTACTAAACATCTGGACAATAGTGCCGGTGATGTACCGGATAACACAGATTCGGACAAATATATTGAGAAACAGATATTTCGAGACAAAAAATTGGATAAATTGTGGAAAAAGGCACAAAGTTCTGGTCTGAATGACGAGCAGTTGTTGATACTGAAGGATGAGTTAAGACACCACGAGCTGAAGATTGAACAGTACAACCAATTGATTGCTGATATAAATGCGGCCGAAAATGGCAAGACATCCAATGGTGACGACCGGGAGAACTCTATCAACGCTATTATGAATGAAGAGGAGATTAAACCCGTCGACGATAAGGACTCTCATAAAGCCTTAAAGAATAAACACTTTGAAATCAAAGAGGATTACAAACGATTGAGTGATAAAGTGCTGAATAGTGCCGAAGCTTTCAAGTCATCCAAAGACGAGTTTGAGGAGAAAAAGGCTCAAAACCTGTGGGAATTGGCCCTCAAATCAGACTTCACTAAAGAGGAACTCATTTCATTGCGCGAAGAATTGGATCACTTCGAGAATAGGATTAAGAAATTGAGACACTTTGAGACACAACTGGAAGTGGACTCAATGAATGGTAAGCATATGAACCAAAACGTCGATATGGCTGTCGATGACGACAAACATGTGAAGAGAAAAGTGAAAGATCTGAAGCATAAAGTGAATAAACTTCACATCGAATTGGAGACCAGAATAATGCAAAGACATATTGAATTGTAGACCAATTATGCATTTCTTAAATTTTATACAGTATTTATTTATCTGTCAAACAATTGAACCAATTATTGATTGAATACCTTTGGTATACATTTTATTACTTAACTATTTATATTACAATCCATTTGTGGACAATTAGGTCTGAAATAAAACTAAGTTTTTTTAGTAGTTTCGGGTTTTTCTTCTTTTTCTAATTTCTTCTCGAATTCGACGAACTCTTTGGCGCCCAACGCATCCAACTCATCGGTCACCTGAAGACATATCACCTATTATTGTATGGACTGTAGTGACCATTGATTACAAACTATACCTGTTCTACACTAACGACTTCTGGGATATAAAACTGAAGCATATTTTGAATGCCACTCTTCAGAGTGACTATAGAAGAAGGACACGAAGTACAGGCGCCTTGAAGTTTGAGTTTAACGGTTCCGTTCTCGAAGCCCTGTCCACACAATCAGTGAAATGGCATCAAATGGTTAGACATGTAGTGAAGACATACCATAAACCTCACGTCTCCGCCGTCCTCTTGAACTGTGGGTCTGATTCTGGTTTCGATGAGTTCTTTAATCATTTCCACCGTTTCGTTGTCCGAAACCTCTTCTTTCGCTTCAATTCAATGATATATTCTCTTCAATAAAAACCTCTTAAAAGTGATTCCAATGAATACCTTCGGTCTGTTGATTGTCATCGGATTCGTTGACAATGGGAAGACCGGTGGCGAAGAAGTCCATAATCGTGGCGAAGATCTCGGGTTTCAATAACTTCCAGTCCATGTCATCATCCGATTTGGTAATTGTGATGAAATCGGATCCAAAGAACACTCCTTTGACGCCTTCTATACGGAACAGCTGTTCAGCCAATCGGGACTTATTGAGGGCCGATCTGACGCTCGGGAAGTCTATGGTTCCCGAAGACATCACTTTGACTCCGGGAACAAACTTAAGACTATTGGGATTCGGCGTGTCTTCCGTCTGAATAAACATAAATCGCTCTGAAATGACACCAAACCATGTCTTCAGTCAATCATTTCATGTCATATTCAATGCATTTATGACTTACTTATCACTGAATTTAATGTCAGATCTCTTCGTCTCAAGACATGTCTGCCAAACATCGACTGAATGTCTCTTTTGATCACTTTGTTGGTGTCAATGAGTCTCTCAGGCAATGGTCTCCTTTGCCGGCAATAAGTCATTGAAGACATCAATCGTTTCCAATGACTATTACTGAAGACTAGTCTGTTTCGTAGGAAACCATTTGAATACATGTCTCACCAATGGATACACACTTTATATGACAATCAGATTCACATGCATTTGACAATCGCTTGATTGCAGCGGAATATTGTACACAGAATCACATGTTTATGGCATAAACTTTATGCCTATAATGAGTGACACCTTTTGGCCGCATATTCTGGCAATCGATCCCATGTTATGTAAGTCTGTCTGTAAGTTATCCTACGCTCAGCTTCTTTGTAGTCTAGATATGAAGTGTTGATGAAAGGATCAAATGATATGTGATATTCAATATTCACATCATTATCACTGGTTGTGAACCACAACCCATTATAGTACGAGTATATGAGTGTGCATTGAATTCAATATAATTCCTGCAGACATATCACACAAAAGTCAAGAATTTCAACCATAATTCCCATAATTCTTGACTCTATAGCAGTAAACCTAATATTTTAATAGACTCTACCTTTCCATATAATATGCATTAAAAATTTATATGCTTTTCTTATTTGACAGAAAAGTCATAAAATAAATAGGTTTCCCATTTTGCACACAATATTTGTTTAACAGAATCTGAACCTAGAATTTAATATAAAATGTTAAAAAATAAATAAAAACACTTATTCTGCATCACAGTTGTTTGCATTTTCTAAATATGATTTCATGTATAGTAAGTTTAGGGGTATTAGCGTTTAATAATTAATTAAAATAATAGGTTAGCAATGGTTTTGGAGTATTTTATTACGAATTGAATGAATAAATGTCACAATTGTTAGTAAATATGTTTTAGTAAATGTAAATGAGTTACTAGTGAGTAAATAAAACTAAATAATGAATGAAATGGCAGTGAATTGGTTTTCAGACATTCCATTACTTTTAATGAAACAAAAATGTAAATAATTTTATTATTTTTAAATAAAAAATGAGAAAAATATAATTATAATGTAAATGATTGAAATTTGGTAATAAACATAAATATTGATATAAAATGCAATACTTATAAAGTAATCGAAAGGGAATGCAGTCTCACATGGACTCGATTTACAAGTTTGTGTTAACACAGTGTTTAAAGCAATCAATTTATAAGCTATTTGTCTAAACTTCTGACAAGTTTCTCAATAAGACATTCGTTTTTCTGCATATATTTCACGATAAGAGAGATTCGAAGTTTAAAAACACCAAAACATTCATGAGATTAGTTTACGGAGAGGTGGGTGAGTAGGGCTGACCACCAGTGGGGGTACCGCCCGCTTGGAATCGCATCTCATCCCTACTGGCCCTGCAATACACGGCATACCATTGATCAGGTCATTGATTCATACGATGGCATTGCATTCATGTGAGGACTTACTTGCGGCCCAACACCAGGAGTCCAAAGAGGGCTGTGATTCCCAAAGAGGCCAAAAAGCCGAGAATGAAAGCCGGACCGAAACAGCCCATCGACACGCCCACTATGAATGGCACCAGAGTTACCCTACAGTC